AAAAAATTGGGAAAAAGGTAAAAATTTGGGGGTTTTTTTTTAAAAAAAAAAAAGGGGGGGGAAAAAAAATTTAAAATTTTTCCAAAAATATTCCCCTTCCAAAAAAAAAGGGGGGGGCTTAAAAAACCCCCCCCAAAAAAAAGCTAGCTTTTAATTGCCTCCAGCATACTAAGGGGGATTACTAAAAAAAAAAAAAATACCCGGCTGTCTTGAAGAGGGAGCTGGACAGGCACTTCAAGTCAGTACCTGACCAGCCGGGCTGTGGTTCGTATGTTGGTCTGTATGCGGTCAGTAATAGCTTGGTTGATCAGGCCCTGATCCACTGCGAGGCCTGATCACTGACTGGGCTGCAGGGGTGTTGACGGTCGGAATACCCTCCAGGCATTCTCTAGCTGGATAATACTAGCAATCTATGCCCTGTAGTACCAACTCTAGTTGGCTAATATCAGCATACTCTAATATAGTAACAATGGTTATAAATGACCATAATTTTTAAAGGGGTGGACCGGTAAGCCAGCGGAAGGCCTCGGTCAGATGACCAAAAGCTCCAAAGGCGGGTCATCATCTGACTAAGACCCGCGTCAGGAAACATTTGTCCTGTTTCCTGACGAACCTTACCTAACCTAACCTAGCATACTCTACCCAGTAGTACCAACACCCTAATATGCTATTATTAGCATTTTTTTCACCCAATACGAACTCCCTAGGTGGCTCATAATTGTTCTCCACCCACTAGTACCACCTCTCTAGTATGCTAATATTAGCAGTCTTCACTCAGTGGCGCCACCTCGTCTAGCTAGTAAGTAACTTTATTCAGGTATACACAAATACAGTTACATAGAATTATCATACATAGCAGCATATGTGTAGAGAACCTAGGATAACCCAAAAAAGTCAGACACAGTGACTTATTTCCACCCAGTAGTACCAACTCCTTAGCTGGCTAATATTAACACTTCACTCAGTATTACCAGTTCTCTAACTGGGTAATATTAGCAATCTGCTAGAAAAATGACAGGATGGTTAATGAGAACCTTCAAAACTAGGGAGGCCAAGCCCATGATGACACTCTTCAGGTCACTTGTTCTATCTAGGCTGGAATATTGCTGCACACTAACAGCACCTTTCAAGGCAGGTGAAATTGCTGACCTAGAAAATGTAGAGAGAACCTTCACGGCGCGCATAACGGAGATAAAACACCTCAATTACTGGGAGCGCTTGAGGTTCCTAAACCTGTATTCCATGGAACGCAGGCGGGAGAGATACATGATTATATACACCTGGAAAATCCTAGAGGGACTAGTACCGAACTTGCACACGAAAATCACTCACTACGAAAGCAAAAGACTTGGCAGACGATGCAACATCCCCCCAATGAAAAGCAGGGGTGTCACTAGCACGTTAAGAGACAATACAATAAGTGTCAGGGGCCCGAGACTGTTCAACTGCCTCCCAGCATACGTAAGGGGGATTACCAACAGACCCCTGGCAGTCTTCAAGCTGGCACTGGACAAGCACCTAAAGTCGGTTCCTGACCAGCCGGGCTGTGGCTCGTACGTTGGTTTGCGTGCAGCCAGCAGCAACAGCCTGGTTGATCAGGCTCTGATCCACCAGGAGGCCTGGTCACAGACCGGGCCGCGGGGGCGTTGACCCCCGGAACTCTCTCCAGGTAAACTCCAGGTAAACTGGTACCAATTCCCTAGATGGCTAATCTTGCTGATAAGATTTTGTTCAGATTTTTGACCTGGAGGGTTAACCACCTAGGAGTTTAATATCTTTATTATGCACCCCATACCCATCCTATGGGCGGTAGTCAAAAGATTACAGAGGTACATAATGGGTCCAGGGACTGGGCCTCAAAGTTCTGATAGCTGAGCAAGTTACAGAGGTAATGAACTCACAATTTACGAAGGTAATGAACTCACAATTTACAAAGGTAATGAAGTCACAATTTACAAAGGTAATGAACTCCAGGTAGGTCTGGTCACAATCATGATAATTTACAAAGGTATTTACAGTTTACAGAGGTACGTATTATTATTATTATAATCACAGGGAAGCGCTAAATCCGTAGGGTTATACAGCGCATGTGGGGGGATGGAAGGTATTCAGGTAACTGGAGCACAGATCCAATTCCCTAGATCAAGAGCCCCTCACCAGCATCAAGGAACCTCCCTTGAGGGGACAGAGGTACGTAATGGGTCCAGGGACTGGGCCCCCAAAGTTTTGATAGCTGAACTAGGTACAAACCCAATTAAGTCATAATGGCACTGACAGCTGTCTCTTATTTTCACCAGGGTCCTATAGTCTTTTTCCCAGGCTGATACCAACAACAGTTGACAAACACCCAGATACCTGCTTACTGCCAGGTGAACAAAGGCAACAGGTGAGAGGAAAAATTCCCATAGCTCGATTGCTAGCGCCCTCAGATCACATATTGAGGTCAGTAAGTTTATTCAGGTATACACAAATACAGTTAAATAGATTATCATACATAGCAGCATATGTGTAAAGTACCTAGGATAACCTAAAAAAAAGTCACAGAGTGACTTATTTCCATTGGGGTCCTTTTACCTTATTAGTATAATATAAAAGTTATTAGTATAATATAAAAGTTATATCTTATTATTATTATATAATGGAGATAACGTCTTATTATCATACTAAGACGATTATCTACTACACGAGGGTCATTAAGACTATCTACAATACGGGTCATTATTAGGAATAAGGTAACATTACACGTGTTTTAGCTAAAAAAAATAATTCCCCTCTCTTTCTGTAGCTACATTCATCAGGCACCTTTTGGCTCTCTTCTTGAACTGGTTCATGCTATGACTGGCTTTGACATGTACAGGCAGTCTGTTCCATTCCTTTATTGTTGTACAATAAAAGGTGTTTGAAGCCTGGCCACTGACTGTGGGTACTACAAAGTTGTGCTCTCTCCCCCTAGTGTTATGATTGCTTTGGTTCTCAGCCTTGACAAAATTGACAGCAAGATATTCTGGACACTGTTTGTGAGCAATTTTATGAACATGATTGAGCTTCAGCTGTTTTACTCTGTCTTCAACATTCAGCATATTCAACTGCTGTAATTCATCCTGGCCTACACGTTCTCTTGGACCCAGGTCCAGGATGAATCTTACCATTTTGTTCTGGGTGATTTGCAGTTTATCTTTCAGTTTTTTTTTTTTGTCAAGGCAGAGTACGGTGAAGAGCAAGCGTAATCCATATGACACTGTATAAGGGCTAGACATAGGGTCCTGCGAGCCTCGGTAGGTAGACACTGTGCTTGTCTGCAGAGGAATTTCAGTCTGGCATTCGCTTTCTTTACTACACTGTTCCCTATCAATTCTCCTGACATACATGGGTCAAAGGGGATTCCCAGATATCTTACTGAGGAAACTGAAGTGATGGGTTCCCCATTACACTGGTCATTACAATTATTTACCCTTCTCAGTTTATGTGTGTAATGATAGTTTGTTGTCTACTAACCATTTGCTGCAGGACTCCAGTTCCAGTGTTAATACATTAGCTATATCTTGTGGGTCTTTACCTGACACTAACAGAGCACTGTCATCTGATAGTGATAATGGTTCTAACCTTGGTATGGGTGGAAACATTAGGACTTTTTTCTTAAGGCATCTGCTGTCCATGTTCACCTTTCGGTATAATAAGTACCTGGGTGTCAGTTAATTGTTGCGAGTCGCATCATGGGGACAAAATTAATCTAATTTGCCCGAAATGCTCTGCATAACAAGGGGCTTTCTATATAGCAGTATGTCATTGATGTCAGCTAGGCCTATATACCTTGCACATGTACTTGTAGAGAGACTGTTATTATTTTTAACTTTAAATATTCCTAACTCACCATCTCTATTGAGCTAAAATTTGAGATCACTCACTAGTACCAACTCCATAGCATGCTAATATTAGCAATATCTGCTTAATGCTACCAGCTACTTAGCTCGCTAATATTAAGAATTTTCGTCCATTGATACCAACTATCTATCTGGCCAATATTAGCATTCACCGCCCACTTACTAACTTCATAGATGGGCTAATATTAGCGATCAACACTTGTTAACATGAACTTCCTAGCTGATTTACATCTCACTACTAACAACTTTTTTACTTGATATTATTAGTGATCGCTGCACTCATTGAGGAGATGAAGTGCTTTATAACAATAGCTGTGAAAGGGTTGACTCATAGGGAACCTTTATAATTTTCAACAGTGAGTTCCAGGTTGTGTAGGGCGAGTGGGACGTGGGGGTAATTAGAGATTTTTGTGCCTTGTGTTATGCCTATGAGTTTTGCTGCAGTTCTGTTAATGAGTAAGTTTATATATGTACAGGTACACATAAATTCAGTTACACAAATTTAGGTGACTACAATTATCATACATAAGAGTATGATAACCAATGAAGGTCAGACGAAGTGACTAGGATAGCTTTGCCAGCTGTGAATGATTCTCTGAGTCATTACTTTTATAAGCAACTCTTAGATTTAATTTGGAGATTGCTCAAATAATAGTGTTATTGGAAATTTTATCATCCAAACTTTGATGTAGAAGGTTTGAAATGTGGATCAAGTTTGCTGGCAGACCTTGAAGTCATTGTCCGGGAAGACGGCTGCGACTTCGATATCTTTTTTCGTTAATTTTTGTCTTCGCTAATACAAAGGGTGAAAGTATTTAGCATATTAGTAAGAAATCTTATTTTTTACATTGTGATGTATTTACTTTAGCTATTATTTTAATTGTTTTAATATTTGAGGCAAAATTAGTGCAGAAAATGATACGGATAAAGTTTGTTGTGGAGAGGCGACGCACTGAGCATAGCATCCCCGGTCTTGTTCTTTGTACCTTTCTACCTCTTATTACACAATGTGAGTCTAGCTACTGCATTTCCGCTCGTACAATCTTCTCACTGGCAGTAAATTTTCATAAGATGATTATACGTATTGGGCAGTGTTAGTGAGTAGACAGCTGGTAGTTCTCGCCTGCTGCCATAATGTACTTGACTCTTGCTCTGAATACTCAAAATTAGGGAAATTATGGCTTTTGTAACTGATTGTGTATCACAAGAAACCTTTACAATTACGCCTAAGGTTACGACGACTACCCGCATTAGCCTAGAAGGTAAAATATTATAGGTAAAAGACATATACTGATCAGACATTTATTAAAAAAGGATTCGTCACAAATGGCTTTTGTCCTAATACAGACAACTATTCGGCGGAACTCCGATATTATTTTACACTTTTCAGTACGTACAAATGTACATCGTGCACTGTCAAATGGAGCAATTGAGACAAAGTGTATTAAGTTGTTTATATGGTAGCATACATAAAAAGTTCACTTCAGTGTGTTCAAAGTTTTATTTTAGAAAATAATATAAAAGGATAATGGATATACAAACTGCTAAAATTTTACTATCTTAGGCTACACAGATTGCTAGAATAATGAAAAAAAAAAAAAAATTTGGCCGCAGTTGTCCTAGGTGTGTGGCATTTGAGCCCCTTGCTATTTTATGTGGAACAATTGTAGTTGTAGTTCATCTAAAACATTATGAAAGACTAACTAGCTGCCACATGTTAACTACTGTTAACATGTGGCTACCTAAATAATAATAATAATATCTTACAGAAAGGCGCTCATTTTGCAGAGCATTTCAGGCAAATTAGGTCAGTTTTGTTGCAGGATGCGACCCACACCAGTCCACTAACACCCAGGTACCCATTTTACTGATGAGTGAAAATAGACAAACGGTGTAAGGAAACACGTCCGATGTTTCCACCCCTTTGCCGGAAATCGAACCTGGATGCCCACTGTGTGAAGTGAGAGCTTTTGCCACCAGGCCACAGGGCACCATTAACAGATACTAAAGCCCCTAGAGTGTATGCTTGAGAAAGCAATGGTTTCTTTAGAAATGTCCTTCATTTTCAGCCACCTGACCATAACGTGTTCGGTGTCATATAAATCTGGAACTTATCTTTAAATGCCAGTGTTTGAGAAGTGCCTATGCCTTTAGGGATTTCTGTATTTCTACAAGAAAAAATTGTCTGGTTCCCAGGTACTTTAGCCTTCTCTATGACCTCACCAACATAGTGGTGTGTTGGTTTAGAAATAATAAAATATAACTAGGAATGATTGGTTATGGTTTGCAGCATCTCAGTAATTGAATAAGACCTAGTAAAAATGTATAAAACAGGCTGGGGGGATGGGGGTAGGAGGGCCTTACCCATCCTCAAGAAAATTAACAAAAATTGAATATTTCCATTAATTTAAGGCTGATTTCAGACTATTTCTGCCCCTAAACCGACCAAACTCATCTCTATTTCAGAAGCTTATCTTCCATTCTTTCAAATGATGCCAAGAAATGGCTAATAAAACCATAAAAACCATTGTAGAAAACACAGTTGCTGTTTTAAACTACCCCTCAAGGAAGGTTCCTTGATGTTGGTGAGGGGCTCTTGATTTAGGGAATTGGATCGGTGCTCCAGTTCCCCGAATTAAGCCTGAATGCCTTCCACATCCCCCCCCAGGCGCTGTATAATCCTCCGGGTTTAGCGCTTCCCCCTTGATTATAATAATAATGTTTTAAACTAAATACTGGGTCAGAGTTCTGTTTTTTCATCTTGCAATGGGTGGAGCAGGATTTTTTTTTATACCAGGCCATGGGGGTGTTGACCACCAAAACCCTCTCCAGGTATACACACTGTACAGACCCATTCTGATAAGAGAATGAGTCAAAATTTACTGGTCTAAGCATTACCATGTATGTATTCTTAATGCCATTTCTTGTACTGTACATATGTATCATCTTGATAAACAAATATGCTTAGTATTACATTTATCTAGAAGTTTCTGTAATCCCACCTCTTTCTAATAAATGTTCAGAATCCTTTACAGACCCTTTGAGGAATGTGCCGACAATACAAGTTCCTTACGGTTTCCTGTCAACCCATAACAGTCCTTCCTGTTTCCTATACCATCTCTGGTGCATACTACATCAGTTTTCTTTCCCTTCATATGAGGTAATGATACAAGCCATTAATGTTTATATACATGACACAAATTCTGATTCCTTTGTGGATTCTGATCGTCATCCAGATAATGTTGAACATGGTAAAGAGTTAAAAGACTCTCCCATCCCTGGCATACCCATTAACCACCAAGCTGTCTGTCACATACTAGTATGTCCGCTGAATCTATGTCTTTAGTGTACTAGTATGCAAATTCATAGAACCCTCACCTTTGCTGTGAGTGGCAAATTTTGGCCTAGACATGAGAGAATGGGTCAGTGTAGTGAGAGTGTGAAGTATGAAAAATAATCATGTCCCCCACAGAGTGCATGATGGAAACAGCTAACCTCTGACCTTGTGGTTGGGTTAAAATATCTACTTTGGGGCTTTTTCTAGGGCATTTTTTTTTTAATTTTTTTGTTTCTTGGTGTCAATAGATTGTCTGGAAGATATGCTAGTGAAATGGACAAGACTTGGCATGATAGAGAACTGGAATTGGCCTGAAATGTTCATCACACTATCAAGAAATGGTTGATTTTCCTAATGTTAAGTAGTTTACCTGGAGAGAGTTCCGGGGGTCAACGCCCCCGCGGCCCGGTCTGTGACCAGGCCTCCTGGTGGATCAGAGCCTGATCAACCAGGCTGTTGCTGCTGGCTGCATGCAAACCAACGTACGAGCTACAGCCCGGCTGATCAGGAACTGACTTTAGGTGCTTGTCCAGTGCCAGCTTGAAGACTGCCAGGGGTCTGTTGGTAATCCCCCTTACGTGTGCTGGGAGGCAGTTGAACAGTCTCGGGCCCCTGACACTTATTGTGTGGTCTCTTAACGTGCTAGTGACACCCCTGCTTTTCATTGGGGGGATGGTGCATCGTCTGCCAAGTCTTTTGCTTTCGTAGTGAGTGATTTTCGTGTGCAAGTTCGGTACTAGTCCCTCTAGGATTTTCCAGGTGTATATAATCATGTATCTCTCCCTCCTGCGTTCCAGGGAATACAGGTTTAGGAACCTCAAGCGCTCCCAGTAATTGAGGTGTTTTATCTCCGTTATGCGCGCCGTGAAAGTTCTCTGTACATTTTCTAGGTCGGCAATTTCACCTGCCTTGAAAGGTGCTGTTAGTGTGCAGCAATATTCCAGCCTAGATAGAACAAGTGACCTGAAGAGTGTCATCATGGGCTTGGCCTCCCTAGTTTTGAAGGTTCTCATTATCCATCCTGTCATTTTTCTAGCAGATGCGATTGATACAATGTTATGGTCCTTGAAGGTGAGATCATCCGACATGATCACTCCCAGGTCTTTGACGTTGGTGTTTCGCTCTATTTTGTGGCCAGAATTAGTAGTGCATGTTTTAATCTGCCCAAAATGCTTTGCATAACAAGGGGTTTTCCTAAAACATACTGTATAAATGTTTATTTCCCAAAACAGAAATGATACAGGCTTGCATTTTGGAACTAAAATTTGTATGTAATTGATCTGTACTACGTATTTGCAGTCAATCTTGCTTTTAATTCTTGTGAATGTGTATAGAGCATTTGAGTATCAGCATGCTTCTTGTAAGTGATGTAAATATAAAATAATAGATCTAATTTATTTTTCAGGACTGAACCAGAAGCAATGGCAGAGCTAGAGACAAAGGAAGAGGTACGTGTGACAACTATCACCTGGTATTGCTTCACGTCTCTATGAAGGTTGCCCAATATTATAATAATAATGATAATAATAATGTGTGGTGTGAATATTATGCAGGGAACTCGTAGCTTGGAGATGAGGAGGTGTAGGATTAATAAAAAGTATTATCCAGAGGGCCAGAGAGGGGTTGTTGAGGTGGTTTGGACATTAAGAAAGGATGGAACAAAATAGGATGACTTGGAGGGTAAATAAATCTGTAGTTGAGGGAAGGTGGGGTAGGGGATGTCCTAGGAAAGGTTGGAAGGAGGGGTTAAAGGAGATTTTGTGTGCGAGGGGTGCTTAGACATCCAGCAAGCGTTTGTGAGCGTGTTGGATAGGAGTGAGTTGAGGCAAGTGGTTTTTAGAACTTGATATGCTGTTGGAGTGTTAGCATGGTAACATTTATGAAGGGATTCAGGGAAACCAGCTAGCCAGACTTGAGTCCTGGAAGTGGGGGTACAGCACCTGCACTCTGAAGGGGAGAAAGGGTATTTGCAGTTTTGAACTGTAATATCAGCATGCCTCTGGCAAGACAGTGATGGAGTGAGTGATAAAGTTTTTTTTTTTTTTTTTTTTTTTTTTTTTTTTTTTTTTTTTTTTTTTTTTTTTTTTTTTTTTTTTTTTTTTTTTTTTAGTCCACCTTGATGGGAGAGAGCTGGTGATTTTTTTCTTTTTGTCTTATCGAGTACTGTATCTGCAACTGTATCAGTTTCTTATGTTTAAAAATTAATACAGTATGGTAATAATGAAAAGTAGTTCCTACATGTAGATATAATAAATAATAATTGGGTGTCTTGTTGAGGTTTTGATGAGTACTGTACTTATAACTTTGTTTTATTACACAGTGTATACACAGTGCATAAAGTATCTATGGTATCTTTGTGACTATTTTGAACTTTTCAGGAATGTAAAATGGTCAGTGACGATAAGAAGCAAAGTTTGGTAAATGAAGTTGATATCTGTGCCACCAAAGACACTGTAGAAGCAGTTGAACATTGTGGAAATGATGGAACTATAGATAAAATGGTGGAGGGTATTATAAAGGAGGAACCTGATGTGGAAAAGAATAATGAAATTAAAAACGCAGATAAAGTCAGTGGACTTGCACCAGAAAATGTGAAAAGCAATGAAAACGACAAAGAAAATATGGAAATCAAAGAAAATTGTAAGGAAAATATGGAAGTGAATGAAAATAAGAAAGATGCAGAGGTAAAGGATGCTAATTTGGAAAGTGAAAATGATTTAAACCTAGCAGCAGAAGACAGGACAGGGAAAGCCGAACAGGCAGATGTTGGGAAGAAAAGAGGACCAAAGAAGAAAACCGTAGAAAACAAAACTCAAAGAAAACCAGACAAAGGTAAGGCTTTTGGTTTTACTTTGACTGCATTTCAGTATGGGTTGTAGTCTTAAGTTAGACTTAACCCTTTCAGGGTCGATAGGCCCTCTCAGAGACTTGTTCTCAGGGTCAGCCAAATTTAAAAAAAAAAAAAATTGTTTTTTCTTATGAAAAGATAGATCTTTTCCCAATCATAATGACACCAAAAGTATGAAATTTGATGGAAAACTTAAAGAATTATGCTCTCGCGAAGTTAGCGGTCTCGACGATGTTTACGCATCAGCAATTTTGCCCACTTTGAGCCCTATTTTCGGCCAATTCAGTGTACTTGTCGACAAAAATCATAACTATTTCTCTAGAACTCCATTTTTTCTATCGAATGAGTACAAGAAACCACCCATTTACCAATTTCAACTATCCAATACAGTGGTCAGAATTTAGCAATTTTGCCAATTTCACACAAATTTCAAAAGATGCCAATTTCTGAATAGGGTCCAGAATAAACAAGAAAGACATTCCTGGCACTAAAATAACATTTCCTCTGTTCATTAGTCACGTTCCCATGCCTCTCTTACATTCTTTTGCTTTCCACTTTGAATTTTTATTCTCACAAAAAAATAGAAGATTTACTGTTATGCAGACTACTGCATTGGTGTAGAAATGGTATAAATAATATCAGTGCACTTGTGAAAGAATATTAGACTCACCAGTTGACGTGTATTGGACGCATAGCATGATTTGTTTACTTTCAAACTTTGGTAAAAATCGAACATTTCTGCTACTTTGAGCTCAATTTCAAGGTATTTTTCTTTGTAAAACCAGTCAAAATCATCTTAATTTCTGTAATATGTCTTCCATTCTATAAAATGAGACCAGGAAAACTAGAATACAACAATAAATACCATACGAAAATGCAGTGCAAAGTCGCTGTTTTAATCCAAAAACACGGTCAAAGTTTTTTTTTTCTCATTACGCACTGTGTGCTGCAGGATTTTTTTTATACCACACACACTGACCACATAGACCCATTCTTTCATATGTAGGCCTACCAGCTTTCTCTCACTAGATTTGAGGGCGTTAGAATTTAGGCGTACTAGTACATCAAAAACCCTGGCTCATAAGCCGTACTAGTACGGCCGAAACCCTGAAAGGGTTAAGGTTGCCTGAAATGCTCTGCATAACCATGGGCTTTGTTCATGCTAACAAATCTCACTCATTTCTGTTTGTTTGTTTTATAAACATTTTTTTTTTTTTCAACAAGTCGGCCGTCTCCCACCGAGGCAGGGTGACCCAAAAAAGAAAGAAAATCCCCAAAAAGAAAATACTTTCATCATCATTCAACACTTTCACCACACTCACACATTATCACTGTTTTTGCAGAGGTGCTCAGAATACAACAGTTTAGAAGCATATACGTATAAAGATACACAACATATCCCTCCAAACTGCCAATGTCCCAAACCCCTCCTTAAAGTGCAGGCATTGTACTTCCCATTTCCAGGACTCAAGTCCGACTATGTGAAAATAACCGGTTTCCCTGAATCCCTTCACTAAATATTACCCTGCTCACACTCCAACAGATCGTCAGGTCCCAAGTATCATTCGTCTCCATTCACTCCTATCTAACACGCTCATGCACGCTTGCTGGAAGTCCAAGCCCCTCGCCCACTAAACCTCCTTTACCCCCTCTTTCCAACCCTTTCGAGGACGACCCCTACCCCTCCTTCCTTCCCCTATAGATTTATATGCTTTCCATGTCATTCTACTTTGGTCCATTCTCTCTAAATGACCAAACCACATCAACAACCCCTCTTCTGCCCTCTGACTAATGCTTTTATTAACTCCACACCTTCTCCTAATTTCCACACTCCGAATTTTCTGCATAATATTTACACCACACCTTAGACAGGACATCTCCACTGCCTCCAACCGTCTCCTCGCTGCTGCATTTACCACCCAAGCTTCACATCCATATAAGAGTGTTGGTACTACTATACTTTCATACATTCCCTTCTTTGCCTCCATAGATAACGTTTTTTGACTCCACATATACCTCAACGCACCACTCACCTTTTTTCCCTCATCAATTCTATGATTACCCTCATCCTTCATAAATCCATCCGATGACACGTCAACTCCCAAGTATCTGAAAACATTCACCTCTTCCATACTCCTCCTCCCCAATTTGATATCCAATTTTTCTTTATCTAAATCATTTGATACCCTCATCACCTTACTCTTTTCTATGTTCACTTTCAACTTTCTACCTTTACACACATTTTCAAACTCGTCCACTAACCTTTGCAGCTTTTCTTTAGAATCTCCCATAAGCACAGTATCATCAGCAAAAAGTAACTGTGTCAATTCCCATTTTGAATTTGATTCCCCATAATTTAATCCCATCCCTCTCCCGAACACCCTAGTATTTACTTCTTTTACAACCCCATCTATAAATATATTAAACAACCATGGTGACATTACACATCCCTGTCTAAGACCTACTTTTACCGGGAAGTAGTCTCCCTCTCTTTTACACACCCTAACCTGAGCCTCACTATCCTCATAAAAACTCTTTACAGCATTTATTAACTTACAACCTATTCCATATACATACTTGCAACATCTGCCACATTGCTCCTCTATCCACTCTATCATATGCCTTTTCTAAATCCATAAATGCAATAAAAACTTCCCTTCCTTTATCTAAATACTGTTCACATATATGCTTCAATGTAAACACTTGATCTACACATCCCCTACCCACTCTGAAGCCTCCCTGCTCATTCGCAATCTTACATTCTGTCTTACCTCTAATTCTTTCAATTATAACCCTACCGTATACTTTTCCTGGTATACTCAGTAAACTTATTCCTCTATAATTTTTACAATCTCTTTTGTCCCCTTTCCCTTTATATAAAGGGACTATACATGCTCTCCTCCAATCCCTAGTTACCTTCCCCTTTCATACATTTATTAAACAAAAGTACCAACCAGTCCAACACTATATCCCCCCCTGCTTTTAACATTTCTGTCATGATCCCATCAGTTCCAGCTGCTTTACCCCCTTTCATTCTACGTAATGCCTCACGTACCTCCACCACACTTACATTCTGCTCTTCTTCACTCCTAAAAGATGGTATACCTCCCTGGCCAGTGCATGAAATTACCGCCTCCCTTTCTTCCTCAACATTTAAAAGTTCCTCAAAATATTCTCGCCATCTACCTAATACCTCCCTCTCCCCATCTACTAACTCCCCTACTCTGTTTTTAACTGACAAATCCATACTTTCCCTAGGCTTTCTTAACTTGTTTAACTCACTCCAAAATTTTTTTCTTATTTTCATTAAAATTTCTTGACAGTGCCTCTCCCACTCTATCATCTGCTCTCCTTTTGCACTCTCTCACCACTCTCTTCACCTTTCTTTTACTCTCCATATACTCTGCTCTTCTTATAACACTTCTGCTTTGTAAAAACCTCTCATAAGCTACCTTTTTCTCTTTTATCACCCCCTTTACTTCATCATTCCACCAATCACTCCTCTTTCCTCCTGCCCCCACCCTCCTATTTACCTGGAGAGAGAGTTTCGGGGGTCAACGCCCCCGCGGCCCGGTCTGTGACCTGGCCTCCTATAACCACAAACTTCTGCCCCACATTCTAATACTGCATTTTTAAAACTATTCCAACCCTCTTCAACCCCCCCACTACTCATCTTTGCACTATCCCACCTTTCTGCCAATAGTCGCTTATATCTCGCCCAAATTTCCTCCTCCCTTAGTTTATACACTTTCACCTCCCTCTTACTTGTTGTTGCCACCTTCCTCTTTTCCCATCTACCTCTTACTCTAACTGTAGCTACAACTAAATAATGATCCGATATATCAGTTGCCCCTCTATAAACATGTACATCCTGGAGCCTACCCATCAACCTTTTATCCACCAATACATAATCTAACAAACTACTTTCATTACGTGCTATATCATACCTTGTATATTTATTTATCCTCTTTTTCATAAAATATGTATTACTTATTACCAAATTTCTTTCTACACATAGCTCAATTAAAGGTTCCCCATTTACATTGTATCATGTGGAAATAAACTTTGATCTAAGTTTTGCAAATTGAAAAAGTCAACTTGTGGAAATTGCTTGAGCTTTTTGAAAGTTGAAAAAATCTACTGATTTATCCACTGATGAAATGAGTATAAGTAAGGGGATGGTGTATAGTTTCATAATAAAGAAAATATTCCCAATTGCCCTCACAGATTTTTTAAATCTTATGAAAATCTTAAAAATAATTAAAGTTTGCATCTTACTAGCAGTAAAGGTCACACACATCTTGGCATCATCACTTGCTGTAGAGGCTATTGTTAACCCTTTCAGGGTTGGTCCCGTATATATATGGCTTGATAGAAAGTGTCAGTCCCATATTTATATGCCAAAATTCTAGTGCCTTCAAACCTGGTGGAAGAAAGCTGGTAGGCCTACATGTGAAAGAATGGGTCTGTATGGTCAGTGTGTACAGTATGAAAAAAAAAATCCTGCAGCATGCAGTGCATAGTGAAAAAAAAGAACTCCGACCGTGTTTTTGGTTTAAAACAGCGATTGTGCAGTGTATTTTTGTATGGTATTTATGGTTGCATTCTCGTTTCTTGGTCTCATTTGATAGAACGTAAGATATATTACAGAAATAGAGATGATTTTGATTGGTTTCACGATGAAAAGTGCCTTGAAATTGAGCTCAGAGTAGCGGAAATGTTCAAGAGTAAACAAATCACACCACGTGTCCAATACACGTCAACTGGTGAGTCTAATATTCTTTCACAAGTGTGCTGATATTTATACCATTTTTACAATAATGCAGTAGTCTGCATAACAGTAAATCTTCTATTTTTTGTGAGAATAAAAATTCAAAATGGAAAGCAAGAGTAACATAAGAGGGGCCTGGAGACGTGACTATGAAATTAGAGACGTTACTATGAAATTAGAGAAATTAGGGTTGCTAATGAATCAAAGACTCAT